CCACTCCTGCCGTGTTAGCGTCTCCGGGTCGCTCTCCTGATTTCAGCCTGCTCGCTTGTGCCTGGTGCTCTGGGGGCTTCCCTCGCCATTGTTGTTATTGTCGCCGGAGCAAACAATAAGTTGTAGCTCCGCTGGTATGAAACCAGTAAATTCCCAGTGGCTGTGTGAGTTGGCGATATCCAGCAATGCCTGTCTGTTGTATGTTAGCAGTGCATGACATTTCTGCACTACAGAAAGACTAAAAAACACAAAAAAGAAGAAAACGAAGAAATAGCCGGCATTTGAGAGTGGAACGGGCAAACACGTCTGCCTCGTTGGATGCCATGTTTGTATCAGATCAGCATTGTGAGTATGTTAACAAGCAGAATGGGAGCATTTAGCTTGAAACACCCTTGTAACTCAGTCCAGCCTCAGAGCCACTTGTTAGTGCATTTGCAGTGCAGACATTCCTCGTAAAGTCAAATTTTGGGCTACACATGTGCAGGCAGGATTTCTCTTCGCTCTCTGATACTGTTTGCGCTGTGGACAAATCTACATCAGCATGTAGGAAAACCTCCACAAAAAGTTTATTTGTTAAAAAAGTGGCTGGATGTCAGCAGTAAGTAAATAGTTACAGCACATGCTTCCTCGTCAACTGCTCGCTCTTCATGTCTTAAAATATGTGTTAATTATCTGATTGCCACAAGTTTTGGAATGAGTAAAAAGAAATGATTTGGTCAGGAGTTGAGCACGCCAATAAGCTAATTAGTAACGAGAAGCCACGTGCACTCAGCACTGCTGCAGAAGCGATGCTTCACATTTTGAGAGGCATGAGCTGGGTCTGTTGCCAGGCACAATTATGTAATTGCACAGGTTCACAGTTGCATGAGCAAGTTTGCATATCCTGGTACAGCCAGCCTGAGTTGTGTTATATTTGTGTTTATGTATAGATTAAGCAAAATTACAAGTTATATTAAGACAGGTTTCAAGGTATTTGGTAACAATATTTTTGAACTTGGACAGAGCCAGGCCGGCTGTTTACCTTGCTTCCTGTTTTATGCTAAGACAGGATAAACACGTCCTGATTTCAGCTCCATACCTAACACACCCACACACACACAAACTCACAGAAGATTTTATATCGGTTTCCTTGTGTAAATCTTGGGTAAATATATTGCCCAAAATGCTGACACACTCCAAATACAGTATGTGTGTGTGTGTGTTAGATTTTGTCTGCATACACATACTGCATATCAGTATGCGTAATTTCTTTTGTGTGTGTGTGTGTGTGTGTGTGCACGCGCTCATGTAGGTATGTGTGATTTTGTTTACCAGGATCTCCCTCTGTTTATGTATGTGTGTGTGTGTGTGTGTGTGTGCTATGCATCTCGGTCAGTGTCATTGATACAGTCAGACTCAAAAGGCCAGCTATGCTGCTTTGCCCTCCCCCACCTCACCATTGCTCCCATGTTCTGTCTCACTGTTCTTGTCCACCTATCTCTACCTCCACCCCTGACCTGTATTCAATCACTCAGCCCCCAGCCTCACTAGAAGATGTTACTCTCGCTCTCATATGGCTGCTAGACTAAAGGCTCTGTATCCTACAAAACCAATGATGATGTCAGCTTGTTATTGACTCTCCCAGGTCTGAATGACTGAGCAGAGGATAGGGGGTGGGGTGGAATCTATCTATTGCAGTGAGGTGACCAACCAAGCACAAATGAGCTTTAGTGTGTGTGGGGGTTTGTATGTGTGTGTGGTGTGGGGGATGGGTGGGATCCTGCAGTCCTCGTTTCCGCAGACATAATCTGTCCCAGTTGCTGCACACCTCTTACAGTTTACAATAAGCTTTCTCTTCCTCTCTCTACCCCCCTCTCACCCCTCTTGTGTAGAGATGGATGATTCCATTAAGTAGCAAGGCAGTGAGATGGACATAATGGGCAGTATAAGACAAGAGAAGAAACACAGAAAGGACCAACATTAATAAAGTGAGCTTGGATGGCACTTTGGTAAAATGACCTTGTCTGGAAGCTCACTCACTCAGGATATTATATCTGTATCCATCAGTAAGAAACAGAATAGAGTACATCACACCTTACACAATAATGGTTCATATCAGCAGTTTTGCGTTTTTAAAGCAAATTTACCTTCCATATGTGAAACACACATACAGTGGGTACGGAAAGTATTCAGACCCCCTTAAATTTTCCACTCTTTGTTATATTGCAGCCATATGCTAAAATCATTTAAGTTCATTTTTTTCCTCATTAATGTACACACAGCACCCCATATTGACAGAAAAACACAGAATTTTTGACATTTTTGCAGATTTATTAAAAAAGAAAAACTGAAATATCACATGGTCCCAGGTGGGGCCCGAACCCGGAACCTTCTCACCGTGAGGTAACGGCGCTAACCACTGCGCCACCGTGCTGCTGATTATTTCTGGAGTTTTTAGTCTTTAACAATGGTAAAGTAGCAATGTGTCATATTTGAGTTGGTGTAACCAGGAAATGCTTCATATTTTTGTTTGACAGGCTTACATACATGAATAATAAGGTCTGATAATCAATTTATTCCTTGTAAATTGTGTAGCAGAGTTTAATAATAATTTGAACTTTATATTTAGCAATTTTCCATAGTGTTTATGGGTAGCGCACAATTAATGTGCTAATTATATACTGAATATCTCATTTGTGTATCCTCTACTATTCTTTCTTTAAGGAATCAGAGCTTGAGCATTTGTTGCGATATATTATTTTGGTAGTGCTGAATGTTGTCAACAGCTGATCCACAATTAATGAGTTGTGTATTGTTCTGCATATTAAGTCCAAGACAAACATGCTTCTTGTCAGATGACAGTGTTATCCACCAGGTCAGTGCCTCAAAAACAATAATCCATTTTATTTGCTGATGTCACTATTAGCTTGGTCATGGATTTACTGGGCTCCTACTGGGACATTTTGACATTTCTACTTGTTATTTCTTTACATGTTTTCAAGTAAAGATCTGCCCACCTCTCCTGGTGTCCAAGGTCCTGCAAGAGCGTGTCGCTGTATTTTTGCCTCTCGCTGAGCTCAACACTGGCCAACTTCTTCACCTCGCTGCGAACAAAGTACCAGAACTCCTTAACACCATTCTCCACCCTCCTCCGCATCTCCTCTTGAGTGGGCCCGGGGCCTGCAGCAAGGGTAAGAGAGAACAGCTCACTACAAAACATAACAAAGATACTTAGCTGATGTGATATTTGAGACACAAGTAAATTCATTATGTTAACCTTAATGCAGCTCCATGGATAGAAAAGTGGAAGGAGCAAGGTAGGTGAGGGTGCCAAGAGGTGTTCATGAATGTTTCAGCATTAGAACATGTGAGCATAAGTAGGCTAATGGCACACAGCAAGGTCTTTTAAAATGTTCCTCTTTCATACTTTATCCCTGGGTGTTGTTGTGACCTTATTTAGGAACACTTGATCACTGGTTTTGTGCCCCGTGGTTCTCTCTCATGTGTTCAGTAACAACAGGAGGGAACTCTATACTCCTCCCGAGCCAAACAATGTGGAGTAACCTACATGGATAACACAGCTGTTTGCTCTAATTTCTGAGAAGAGAAACAAAACAAAAAGGGACGGACAGCCTCAAACAGAGGAAAGAGGAGGTTTTGGTGGGTAGGGTAAATCTAACCTTCCAATCTCAAACTCTCTCTTCTCTCCTGACTTCCCCCCTTGGCGGAAAAAGCTGGAGGGTATTTTTAGCATTTTCTTCCCCTGCGGCAAGATGGAAAAGCTGACCCCGTAGTGGCCTCTCTGTTCATGTCCTTTTTTTTTTATTTTCTCTGTCTGTTTTTCTCCTCTCTCTCCATTTCTGCCATTGGGGCATTCACGCTGCGTCTACTTCATTCACACATTTCCTCGCTCACCTGACAGCTTTCCTGCCCTTCTGACCACTGCTTAAAATGGCAAAGACACACATAACCCTGCCCATCAAACGCTGCGGCTCTGCAATCATCGTCGCTGTGCTGCAGCAGGTTTAATGCTGGGCTAGAGTGAGATTTTTGCTGCAAGCAAAAGCTCACAAAAGTGGTTTCATACCATATACAGTCAACCCCTGCACCTTCAAAATCAATTCTTTTATGTTTCCAAGCTCTGTGCCAAATCCTTCCCTGCAACCTTTTACATGGCACTACCGTCTCCTGTGAGTTTCTGGAAGCTGTGGATCTTCTGTTTTGCTCTGGTTAGCTGGTCTTCCAAAGAGCGTAGTTTCCCTGCAGCCAGGGACCCTGCTTCTGCCTGACCCTCTGGTATCCTGGTGGAGAAAGACACAAGGAGAAGATGTGATGGGTGAGCACTGGAGCATGTGTACGCTGCTAGGTAGAAGAGAGTGCCAAAGTACCCTACTGTATCCCACTGCAGCCCCATGAATGAATTAGCTTGAGACAGACTTGACTGAAAATAGGGTAGTGACAGACAGACAGACAGATAGATCCTTTATTTGTCACTGCATTTGATACAATGGAATTTCATGGCAACTCTCACATGGGTAGGAAAAGCATAAAAGACTCAACAGTAATGACTACAACGTACAAGTACCAATACATTAAAACCTGTAACAATAAATACTGATCATTAATATATCCATAATGGCAGGTTAACATCAAAATATTACAATGAGGTATTAAAACCAATATCTAACAGTTGAGCCAAAATGTATAATTAATAAAATATTGCCATGAAAATTTAAAACCAACATCTGACTGTCAGTCGCTCCCCTCCTGCACAATCAACTGTATAACAGATGTTTGACAGTTTCCTCCTTATCTTGACTTCAACCTCTCCTGTTCCTGATTGGTTGTGCACACATCTCATTTATAATCAGTCTTTGCGCATGGTTTTCAAAACACAGAGACTGTTCTGCAAATATTTTGACATTTCTTTTAGATCATCAACAAAAATCTGTCTCTGAATAAAAAATTTAATAAAATATTGTAGGCTTAACCACAAAACTGCAGAATTCTGCATCATTTTATAAGTTTAACACCACATTTTAACAGTTGTTAATGTGTGTGTGTCTCACTGGGCTGACTCCAGTCTCACTGCAACATTTCTAGACTTAAAAGCTGCAGTGAAAATGGAGCAGCGGATGTCGGAATCTCTTAGTGTTCACTACTAAAAAAAAAAAATCGATTTCATTTGCCAAGACACCACAGTGGAGCCTTGCAGAGCCCTGGCCTGGTTTATTTATTCTAAACTCAAGATTATGTACACAGTACTGAATAATTTTCTGTTTGTTATGTCCAGGTTATCCACTTCTGTACAATACACCCAAGCATTATATCCTCTTACAACACCCACGGAATGCATACCGAATATGAAATCACTGTCAAACACTATTCTTTTGTGACTGACTGACAACAATGTACAAAATAAGAAGAAAGAAAAAAAAAAGCCATATTAAAAATAATTTATTTTATTTCAGAGCACCTTTTAAAACCCCCAATGCTGTTATACAATAAATAAAACCAAACACTAATAGAAAAGTATAAATTAAGAACAACAATAAAATATCAGTAAGAGTTATGAATAATAATAAAATATCATCAAAATGACACTAAAAATGAAACCACAGTGAATAAAATAAAATGAAAAATTGTACATTTAAAGCATTTTTATAAATATGAGTTTTTAATGCAAGTTTCAATTGAGTTCATCATCCTCAGATTGTTTGGAAGCTTGTTCCAAGGCTCAGGAGCAGCACCAGCACATGCACTATCACCCATAATCAGCAGCAGAGCATCTGGAAACCACGAGAAGAGCAGCGGATGCATTGTGCAGGTTTCGTGGTGTGGTATAATAGGAGACTATGTAGGTGCTAGGCCATGTAGCGCTTTAAAAGTTAAAAGAAGAAGCTTAAACTGAATACGATAGGGGACTGACAACTAGTGCAACCGTCTCAAAAGTGGTGTAAGATGTTCATATGAGCAGGAACGCAAAATGACTCTCGCAGCAGCATTTTGAACAACCTGAAACTGCTGAAGATTATTCTCCTTTGACTGTGGTTAATGGTTCTGCGAATGCCAAGTGTGTAGAGTTTACAATGCAATGCTTACCAAGCTACATAAAAGCTAGTCACATGCAGTAAACAAGTTTACTATAGGGTAATTTAACCATTTATCAGTAGCACATAATAATAATGCAATGAGCATGGTAGTGCTGATGTAGGTCACAAACAACAGATCATTCTATGTGTTCCTTTTCACTGTGCTACACAACAACACATCTTAAGGGTTCCTTCCTCTTTCTAGCCCTTCATTACATTTAAACATGCATGACAGAGATGTGTGCTCAAGCGCACTGTGCTCAGCAAATTTACATCTGAAAATCTTGCAAAGCATGATTGCACATTATAGCTGATGTGATGTTAGGGCAGCTTTATAGTCCACTTAATGTATCCACATTAATGCAATGATCTGTTTTCATGTTTGGACACACTTTCCTATGAAAATAAAGGATAATTTGTGTCCAAATGTATGTAAAACAATCTGTGCAAAATGTGTTTTCAGTATTTTGTCCTTTTCACAGCTCATTGTTGATGAACTATGGATAACTATGGCTTAAACACATAAATGAGTGCATCAACATGGTCACAACACAGAGCTTAAATCAGCCAAGGAGAAAAAAGAAGTGCCACTGACATTACACCAAATCAATTCCTCTACATAAAACAATTAAAAATGAAATATGTTGGAATGCACAGGGGAATTGGTGAAGTACTGCAAAGGCCATGTTAATGAGTCATCAAGGCATGTAAACTCAATTTGCTCCCTGAGTGAGGAACATCAGTTGCTGGCAGGCATAAAGATGAGACTTTTAAAGTTGCAACAGCCCTTCATGCTGCACAGCTCCCTTTTCACTGTTCTAGCCCCAGTCCCTGAGAAGCCCTGGCCTCCCCACCTCACTGAGCACTAACTGAGCATTGTGCTTCAAAGCCATGGAAATAACTGAGGAGAAAAAGGAGGACATTAACGTCAACATTATGTAATCGCATAAGAACTAAAGTCTTTCCACACATTTGTGGGATCATAGTCAATTATATGTATGTATTAAATTCACGCTTCTGTTCTCTGCAAAATACATGGTGTGCCCATCTTTTGAAACTGGACCCAGCTGCATTTCACTTCCTAGTATTGACTCCAGTATCTATTCTCATATCAAAACCTGCTCAAGCAATATTCAAAAAGGCTACACCCTAACTGCTAGTTATAGCATTGTACAGGAAATAGGACCTTTCCCTCAGTGGCATCATTTCTCAGGGATTTTAAAGTGATGCTAAAGCTGTAACATCAAGCAAAACGTTATCCCCGAACAAGGCAGAAGAAATAGGCCAGACCAGCACAGACTGATGAGAAGTGACGTGGTACAGAGGTGAGCTAACGTGAGACAGAGACATAAACTGCTGAGACACAGTGCTGGTGCAGGCAGGCAAAACACAAGCATCCCCAACCAAGATATGTAGACATAAACTAAATCCAAACACACAACAAAACCCACAGACACACACACAGGAAGGAGGCAAACAGTGTGCACAGATACACAAATGATTCCTGACAGTATCTCCAGAGGACCTGAAGTGGAGACTAGACAAGGCAGCTGGATTCCACAGCATCTTAATCAAACGATACAAGAGAGCTAAGAGATGAAGAAAACATTGACTCAGGGGAGGTGGGGTGAGAATGTGTGTTGGGGGTGGGGGGCTATGAAAGAAGCAGGTGATGAGCCCCATCGGCACTAAGCGGTGAGCCGGAAAGAAAGTAAGGTTGAACACGCAACCCAGCTACCGCTCCACTGGTTCCCGCCCCTGCACTCAGTAACCATAAAGTTCATAGGGTGAGCAGAGCCAAGCAGAGCATTTTGAAAGGTGGGGCCTGGGTGGCACTGCTGCAGATGTATATCTCTCTGGTAGGATTCATTATTTTGATATAGATGACTTCAAAAGAGTTTGTGCTGATCTGGAAAGCTTTATGGATGGAGATGTAAAGTGTTTTGAGAGGTCTAGATAAAGCATAATGGGGAACTTTGATTAACCATCCTTTTACCCTGCATATGTATATGCATGTGCCAGAGACACACCAAGCCGGCATGAAAAAACTAGCAGCGATGTAGGCCAACTGTTGCTTTGGCTCATGCTGCCTTTATCTGGGCCAGTCCGGTCAAAAAAGTAGCACTTGAACACACTGCACAGACTACAGTCAATGGCCAACTAGCACATACTGTATGTTCTGTGCATTCTGTGCCTGTGTGAGAGCAGTAACTCAGTACCTGCAGTTGGTGGTATCAGTATCCTCCATTCAGAATTGGAAAGAAGAAGAGCTAGACTTCAGATATACAAGCTGTAAACAAAGTAGCTCTCGTTCACCACGGCTGCAGCTTATAACTGCCTCTAATTGAGAATAATACTATAATAATATTGAAGATATTGCAAATGGTACTGGCCTTGGTCTTTTTGTTGTGGAAGAAGAAAGCAGGTTGTGGAGGTGAAGAATAAGGAGAAACAGCACTAAATGTGTGAAAGCATGGATACTACAGTTTGAAGGGGCTTTCCAGAACCGGAAAGAGGATGGCGACAGACGTTCAACTGATGGTCTGACAATGGCTGACCATTGGCTTGGGGTGTCACGGGTACTAACTGACACATTCCAGCCATTCATTAGAAGATCTTACTGTATGTTACATCAAACCACTTAACTCTTATAAGTCAAGCTACTAAACCACAGGAATGTGGCAGCTGGAGAAGGTAAGCAGACACTACTGCCAAAGGTCTGGTATTGCCATGAAAACTTGCTACTACTCAGTAGACCCCAGGTGAGCCAGATCTACTCTGAGCCCAAGTTGACAGTGATATCCTGACCACAACCAGCTCCCACAGTGGGGTTAGTGCACGTCCAGGCAGGTTGATGGGAGTTTAGGCTGAGTAAATGCGTTCTCTCTGTGTTTCATTAAAGGAGTGGACAGTGACCTCAAACCACAAACACGTTTGTTTTTACAGTTCACATTTTGACTTAAGATAGGGGCCCAAACGAAGAAGACCTATGCACAAAGTACCCTGTAGACAAGATTTTACAAGCTAACATAGCTGGAAGCAAACTAAAAAACAATCAAGGGCACACAGAAGGAGAGTAATTGAGGTCTAATGGTCAACGGCCTGCACTATTAAAAGACAATTCCACTGATGCATGAAGCAATCTCACCCTCTTCTCTATCTGTCCTAGATCTTTGTTACTTGGTATTATATGCAAATAATTCTTTGCATCTATTTTATCTTGCAGGGTGCATCTAATGGGTTGCCATTTTATCACTGGGTCAGTTGAAACAGAGACGAGCAATTTATCAATCAAAGAACAGTGTGATACGCTGTCTTTTATCACCTACTGTAGCTTTTGATCTATTGCCTTGTACAATGCTGAACATCTCATTCTATTGGCACCTGTAGGCTGAAATAACATAAAGCAGATTAGTGCATGGTCTATGGTCTCCGGAACTCTTCTCATCCCCTCGGTCCTCATTTCCCATTTCCTTCTTGCTGCTCTTTACTTAGTGAGGGCTCACGCCATCCATCACACTCCCCTCCTCTGTGTCGTCCCCCTCCCACTGTTGGTATGCCTGGGAAATCGATCAGGTCCTCATCGCTCAGCCCAGCTGTCACTCTCGCTCCTCACTCCCCGAGATGTCACACCATCAGGCTGGCACGTGTCATCGTCTCTGCAGGAGTCATGGCTCCAAGCCCGAGGTGACTGACAGCTGCAGTGAGGGCGGAGCCAGACAGACTGAGCAGCTCGACCTCATGCTCACCTCTCATTATTAGTGCTGGGTGATTGGTAGGTTGGCACGTTGCCCGTCACTCAGAGACAGCCTCAATAACCAACTCACTGGGCTAAATCTGTTGGCCAGTCAGGTGATGCTAATTTGAGTCTAAGCACTGACTGATAGATTGCTTAAATTCACATGACAATTCCATTCAAAAAATTATGTAATGTTCAGCAAAAATAGGTAAAACATGATCAGGAGTGTGTGAATAATCCACTGAGTAGGTTGAAAAGCCATAACCCATGCAAACTGCTTCAGCATGACCATCACTCTGTTGTAAAGCAAATAAGACAATGTAAACAAGATCCCTTCAGATATATAATAATGCTCTACACATCCATCTAGTGCTGTGGTGCTGCAATGACACTAACCAAGTTAAAGCCTACTCTGAACTATAAATCAATCTCAGTGCAGTGGGTTTCAACTGTGTAATAACTCAACACAAATGTGTAATAATGTCAGTTTTATGGGTTTAAATCTCTCTGAGGCCACTCATAAAGAACAACTGCACTAATGCGAAGTTTAGCCACGCCGGATGAAACCTTTATCTTTGCCAGTGGGGTGCTTGCAAAGAGGGATGAACTAATACCACTTTTTTCAGACAGAGTACAAGTGCTTACATTTGAGTACTTGTATCAGTACTCAGTATCAGCAAGAACTTATGCAAAGATTTTAGAGTGCATTTTGATGAGATCTTGTTTACTTTCTAATTGTGATTAAATTAAATAAAACAACAGGAGGCTGCTGCTGACATCCAAAAATTAATATTAAACTTTCTGCACCGCCACCACTCCATTAACGGTAAAGTGGAACTGACTGAATTTTAGCACTGCACAAAATACTGTAGTTCTTAACCTTTTTTAGGAGTGCATAATGTCACAGGCACCAGTTTAAAATTGTAATTGAAAAGGGTGCACGCTATTACATTAAAACCTGATACGGCCTGTGGCATCATCCGCTCCTCTGCTGCTGAGAGGAACAGCCTCTCTGCTGGACACAAACCTGTACTGCTGTGGAGGAGCTGGTTAGCCTCCAAGTCTGCCACTCATTTTCATACAAAGAGCTCATTAGACTCATCTGTTAACTACATTAAATTAGCGTTTGTTCTCTGCTTGTTCACAACACTACAATCAGCAAAACCAGGGCGACCACAGGGAGAGTGAAGATGTCCTATTTCGGAAAGTTTGTGTTCTGCTTGTTCAACAGGTGTTGGATAAACTACTTGCACTCTCTCCATTACTGGTGAAAATACAACCTTGTCTCTAGTCTGCTGTGTGTCCCCCTCCCTTCTCCTCACCCTTGATAATGACAGAGAGCCGAGCTTGTGCTTTGCTTCTTTGTCTTCTATATACTGTATATACTTGGCTTACAGCCAAGATGGCGCTCCCCTGTGGGCAACATTGCAGCTCGCTCCAGAGTCAGGGGCTCACAGTCAGCACAGGCTCACTGCAGGCCTGCTGTGTCAGCCCCAACCTCTTCCCCCTGTAAACCCACGACTGTGTCTCCAACCATGACAACACCATCATCATTTAAAATGCTGATGACACCACCATCCTGGGCCTCATCAAGGGGGAAGACGAGCCAGGTTACAGAAGCTTGGTGAACAACATTCTTGTTTATGGATAGGAGAATGACCTCCCTGAGCTGGTCACTGAACACAGCTGCCACAGTGAAGAAAGCCCGGAAGCAGCTAAACATCATCAGGCAGCTCAGAAAAGCTGGTCTGAACCGTCGCCCTCTCACCCAGGCTTACAGAGGCCTGGTAGAGAGCGGCCTCACTCACACTGTACACACAGCGCTGTCATAAAAGGGCAGACAACAAGAGACTCACTCCACCCAGCTCACACCCTGCTCAGACACAAATACTGCACCTACAGCCTCGGGCACAGCAGAGCGGATAGTATTATCACACACAGAATTAGATTTTACACCAGCTTTTGTCCTGCCGCAGTAAGACTGATGGCAAATACAACATGTGAGAAACGTGTGCAATAACCCCTCACTACCTCACTAAGTGAAATACCATATCCAACTCCACTATGTGAAATACTATGTGCCATATTTGAAGTTCACCATCTCATCCATTATCTACAGTATTACCTTATTTTTTGTATTGCATTTTTATTTTGAATGCGTTTTCATACTATGTCACTCTTACGTAACTTTATTCCGACTAGATGTTCTTTTCTGGCTTTTAACTCCTTACCTGACTCCAAAGGAGAGCTGCACAAGAATTCCTAAATGCCTAGACTGTCTGTTTATGCATAAATGGCAAATAAAAGTCTTGAGTCTTGTACCTAACAGCCTGCTCAACCACTGTGAGGTTAACATAATGTTGCCATTAAGTAGTATTGGTGTGTAGTATTGGAAGACTTGTATGAGTACGAGTAGTAGAGGGCAGTATTCGACCCGATAAAGCTATAGTGGTATTGGTATATTGCTAAGCACAGAACAACAAATTTGTGTTCAGTCCAAATTTGGACAAGTAAGACGGTAAACTGGTTTAGACATGCATTGAGCTTGTCAGTCACCAAGCGACTGAGTTGTTACAGTCAGTCAGTCAGTGTTAGCCTGCGACTGGAGTCTGGCTGAGTGCCATGCCTCTGTCAGCAGTTTGACAGTGAGGTGGAGGAGGAGGAGGAGGAGGGGGAGTGAAATGAAGAACAAGAGAAGGTGATGAACACAAGGGAGGAGCTGTGGCAGCAGTGATGGGCGGCTCACTAACAGCCTCTCTGCCTCTATTAGGACTAATGTAAGGATAAGAGACACTGCAGGATGAAGCGGTGGTGGAGTTCTCTCCTGGGCCTATATCTGACCACCACACACACACACACACACACACACACACACACAAGTACAAAACTAAACAGAGGACAAACCAACCCCTGTCTCTGTCGATAGCTCATAAAGCTTAACTTCAGCGAGCCAGTTGCCTGCTTTTGGCTTGCTGTGCCGGATACTTAGCAGAAGCTTAGAGGGGCTTGTAGCACTGCCCCAGTAAACAACTGTGGAGGCCTTGGTCCCAGATCAACAACCAAACTCAATAACAAGCAACAAGCGTGCAGTGTGTCAGGGACCCATCTGGACACTGGGCAACTGAAAGCTGCACTTGTTTTCTATGCCATGAATTCCACCTTTGTTTTTGAGCCGATTTTGAATAATTACAAGAGCAAGGGATTTTAATCAAGGACCAGCTGTCTGAAGCAACGTGTGTTTTTATGTTTGCATACAATGATGTGGGCTGCACATCAAAGTGAATCGGAATATCACAGAGGAGTAGCAATAGCAACATCTGAAGCTCAAGTTCCCTGTTAATATTGTGCACACTAGGACACACTACTGTAATCATAGACACACACAGCCATGTACAGATCCAGTGTTTAAGTGTAAAGAGAAACAACGTCAGCATGTGGAGATAAGAGCAGAACCATCTGTCTTTCCATTACACATAGCTCGAAAGTATGAAACACACTTAGCAGTTACTGGGCTCATCGAATGTGCTATTCTCCGCCAAAATAGCACAGTAAGATCTGCTGAAGCGTGTAAAAGTCCATCCATCTGTCCATCACACAGAGGATCTACGACACCAGCAGCAACATTTCTTTAAGTGTACATCACAGAAAGATTCTGATTTGATTTTCATAAAAGCTAAAGAAACACTCATCTTGTAGCTGCATGTTGGCATTTGTAAAATTGCTCCAGTTGGACTAGCAGGGACCTCGAGGCTGTACTGCTGGACTTTGCAGAAAATTAAGAAAATGATGCATTGCACTATAAAAACACAGACCAGGGATGCATAGGGAGAACATTACATTTGTGTTTAGCACTTTGAAATGCCTATGTGTATGAAAATGTGCCATATAAACAAACTTGCCTTGCCTTCCTCCATGATCAGCTGTGCTTTGTGCAAAATCTCAGATCCACAGAGTTAGTAATGACAAAACTCACAAGCAAATCTTTTTGAAAAACAACCAGTGTGTTGTTACCTGAGCGATTCGGCCATGCGCCGCAGGTCTTCATTCTGCTGCTTGAGCCGCTCTAGTTTGGCCAGGATCTTTGAGAGCTCCCGGCTGGATCGCTCCGGGTGTTCGCTATCCCTCACCAAGTGACCGCCGATGTAGAAGAGAAGCGTGCCCCAGGCCAACAGCACCAGGGTAATCCAACGCCATGAACCTGCCCAGGGCCGCATGGTTCAACCACGCCCAACTGAAAATGCCTCTTGGTGTGCCTGTACAGCCGCCGACCCACCGGCCTGCTTGCCAATGTGTGCACACACTCTGTGCCCTGTCACCACAAGTGCCACAGTGCCAATCTTGGCATTGCCATCTCTGCAGGGATGGTAGACAGCAAATGACAAATGAGAGGGAGATGTGTATTTGTGGCTTAAGGGTATTTAAGAAAAGACAGCAGGTGTTCCTCCAGCAACCAATCAGACTTTCCTGTGTGTGCTAAAGCATGGCTAACATGCTCAGAAGTCTGTTTTGACAGCTCAGGCGGTGTCTTCTCCCCTCCACTCAGCTCCGTGTTGACAGGTTTGTCCCACACCCTCTTGCTGCTTTCTTACTCGGGATTCTTGTTGGATTAGAGATGTATCCTGTAGAAGCAAAGAGGAGGGAGTCAGTTGGACATAGTTTTGTCTTGCAAATGTTTTATGTTGGTCAAAACAGAAGCAAATTAAAGCCAGTCAGATGCTAGGCCAGCAAACCTTCTAGACAAGTACAGCAAAGCATGAGACATGCCTCATAAAGGGCCATACGGAAAGAGCATAAAACACGACAGGCTGATAGATACGGGCAAGATGCTGCTGACTGGTCCCGACATAACCCTGTCTCAGCAGCCTACAGGACTGATCAGCATGACACAGCAATTTGCATTTACATAGTGATGTGCAGTCCCTGAGCTCTGCTGCGCTGCTGTCAAGGCAGGCAGGGATGTTTCACTTTCCACGTCCTGCCTGCTTGCATATTACACAAACACTTGTATTTTCGTCTAGTCTCTGAAAAACTCACACACACACAGTTTATGTTTCGTAGTCCATGGGGACTTTACATTGACTTACATGCATTTCCTGTAGACTAACCCTAACCCTAACCAGAACCACTACTTGCCTAACCCTAACCCTAACCTCATCCTAACCCTAAACCATGTTGCCACCCTAAAATTCAATTTCTTGCCCATGGGGACCTCAATTTAGGTCCCCACCGTGAAATGGGTCCTCATGAGTTGGTATGGAGTCAGGAAGAAGTCCCCATGTAGCAGGAAAAACACATCCCCACACACACACACACACACAAACACACACACACGCTTTAGCTACCATACAAACAAGAATACATCTTATATTTTCTCAAGGCCTCACACCGCATCCTCAACCACAACTCACATCCAAAATTCTCTCCCTCACTCTTAGTTAAAGCACAACTAAGCTAGACAGTTGATTAATATATTTGGAGATAATTACATCCCACAAAGTTCTCCCTGTGCACTGTCCTCCTTCCAAAGTGCCCAGTGTCATCTGCAGAGCCTCTGTGACAGAATGCAACACAGTCAAGGTGATACGATGAGCTTGATGGAGGAGAGTGAACAAAAAATTCCTGGATCATCACTTCCAAAGCAGTAGGAGAAACAGAGATGCATACACGCCGTGTTTATGAAGCAACCCTTGCTGTCAACATCCCTTTCACAAATCCTGGCAGGTGTGTATGCATAACATCCAAGTGTGCGTGCATGTTATCATCTCATGGTATGTACCAAGCATCTTAAACTATACAAGTATGGTGGAGGGTTGGGGTTGACTGACACACTGCAGTGTCTCTGGTGTTTTTGCCTGTGTGTGTCCAAGACTGGAGAGTGTTCATGCTGGAGTTCACCCGGCAGCACAAAAGCCGATTAACAGTAGCTCATCATATTTACCATGGCAGCATAGTTGATATGCAGGACATAAATGATGCAGTGCTGCAGCACCATAGACACTGTTCAGGCTTCACTGGTGGAAACTGCCCAAATTGCAGCAGCTGAGATCACTGAAACAATGAGGTGCAAATTGTTCCCCTACATTTCTTACCGAGTGATGTGAGTTTACTGAAATCTTTGAAGATGTTCCTTCCTTGCCGGTGCTCCTGTTGCGACTAACCTGGGCTGACACTAGGGTGGCTCCTTTTTATGCATGCAGCACAAGGATATGCTGAGCTGTGTTTTATTATGGAAAAGAAATGCTGCTAGAGGGTGGCACTCTATCAGCTCATGCAGGACTGGGACTTAACTAAAATGCAGGCTGAAAAATCTTGTCACTGTGTCTGAGGAGCCATAATGAGGCTTGTGTTCAGTACACTAAAACTGATAAATATAAAACTGTTGGATGAGGAAAGCAACTGCTGCCAAATGGGATATGGTAAATGTCTGAGATAGCACTTCTGGCTAGTTGTTCTTGTACTTGAAAGTCAAACTAAGCTAGTAATACATGGGCATATTAATAACAAGGGAAATTAACATGGATTACTTGCAGTTAATTGCCTAGTGTCAGTCAAGATAATAGAGAGGCTAAAGCTAAAATGCTAGCACCAGATGCAGTAATGACACGCCATCAGTTTTACTCTGAAAGGTGTGTCTACTTCTCACAAAGAGCATCACTTAACCTGTGAAAAAAGCTGTGTCCTCTCTGGCACTGATGGGATCGGGTCTTAAGTCTGTCTTAAGAAAATAACCACAATAGCTGTCAGGGTTACCCTGAGTCAGGTGAAAAATTTCAAACATTTGACATAAACCCTGTTATAGATAAACCAGGGAATTTAAAAAATGAGGACATTCAAAAGGCAGGGAAGGTCTAATAAAAATCCTGTAGATTTGTATTAAGGGAATGGTAGGATGTTTTCATTCTGACTATTCTTTTTTTTTTTCCAAGCCCCCCAACATTATGGGTGTGCTATAGTAACCTGGTGGCATTACTTAATAAAAGCTAACATTTTACAGGGTCAAAAGAAAAATGATCAGCATAACCAAATATTAAACAAGCACACTGAAAAACACATCTGTCACACTAAAGATCTTACTCTATGTATGGCGTGAAACTGGGATTGAAACTGTCACACATTCTACTGCTATTAATAGCAAAAGAAATTTCACCCTTAACATTTGAGTCAAAGTTGTAGAACAGCTTATCTGGTCACAGCCCACAGTTTGCAGAGGGTAGGTAACCCAATCTGGGATCAACCTCTTGCATGTGAATAATCATTATTAAAAAAAGATGTTATTCACGTCAGAGGGTGCAAAATCTGAAGGACTAATGATAATTCTTTTTAAAAAATTAAAGCCATCTTTTCTAACTGCACACATTACGGCAACCATCACATTTTACAGCTTTACGGTTCCTTTTTTTACTGCCTTTCAGCTTAGACTTAGACTTAGGTGTGAGGAAGTGACACGGTAAGAAGAACAACATTCAGCAATTTCTGTTTTTTAAACCTCAAAGAATGAAGAGACATCTTTTGAGGCCTGTGTCAGCAGAATCAGAGCTGATTAAAAAGAAGTGATACTCTACTAAAAGTTATTCTACTGATGATCTGGAACTGAATTAGTCCAGAGATATTGCTGAATGGGATGATTTCTTTTTTTGCATTTTTGAAACCTCTCATATGAAAAGGGGGCTACATAAGTAATGGAAATTATAATAATGTCAGCTAAATAAATAAATAAAAGAGGCTGGACTGTGTGACAGATTTGCTGACTGGGATTTTTAGAGAACTTGGTCATATACTGCCTTTTTTTTAAACTTCCCCCAAGCCCCTCCTCCCTCATCCTAAATGTGGAAACATGGTTGTGAGCTCAGGACAAAGTTAAAATACGTGACTGCTTTCTTTTGAACGTATAGTCCTCCTACTTCACAAGTGTAAGGAATAATTGGGCTTGTGATGTTCAAAAACCAAACCTGTCATCTGAAACGACCAGACACTTGATCCCCACAGTCTTTCTCTCAGCCTTGCGTTTCAAAACATCACAACTCTACCACAGCGCCCTTAACCTTGCTCTCACATCAACTAAGGGGGATGGCCTCGCACATGTGGCACTGCAGGGCAAACTGTGACCGCTGTCACAAAATGTCTGGGTGCTGCAGCTGCATGCAGGAGCCCATGGGGACAGTAGAGATGACCTGTTTTCACTCCTGCTGCTGAATCTTCAGTGTGACTCAGGCTGCAGCAGAGGTCATCGATCAGCAAGTGCCAGTCTCCAGGCATTAAGCACTCTGATGTGATCCATCCCTGAATTATGCATGGAGCATGGCTATATATGTGTGTTGCTTGCTTGTCACCTACAGTGGTGCAGGAGAGTGCGGTGTGTGTTGCTAGGGTCAACCCTCTGGGGGGCGGATATGCAGCAAGATGTATAATATGCCATGTAGCTTGGTGGTAGAGTTATGATGGTTGTGTCTGGAAACAGACAGGTAGGAAAGGCTCAAATGCACAGCAGCACTGAGGCTGCACCAACTGAAGTAAAGCACAGTAAAAACACAGCTTACACAGCTACGACCTACAATTGGACAGCAGATGTGTTTGGTCTGACAATCTGAGAAATGTTTGAAATAAATTTTGAGACACCTGATTCATGATTTTACGAGCACAGTGAAGGGGGGAGCTTGCAGGTGTTTTTACTACAGAAAAATGCAGCAAGAGAAACATCAACTCCAACGCCGGCAGCAATTTTTAACCATTAGCTGCCTGGTGATGTTTTGCTGAGCAAGCTGTTCTTGGCAAACAGGCTTCTTTATAGTCATAAAGTTCCACTTGTTTCCACCTGATAGCTGCCTGGTGCAGTCACAGTCTCCTACAAATGGCCACTGAGCAGCTTTTCTGGTTTTTATGTCAGCTGGTCATGCAGGTTCAGTCTGGTGACCTTCCAGCCTCTACACTAGTTCCCAGAGGATGTATCACGCCAGTGTTGGGAAAACAGGGCTGACAAAATGTAAATACCAGAAGTGGATCCAACAAAAACAGAGAAAAGAGAAAGAATCAGGGGGTGGGACTTTCAAATTGATCATTGTGTATTTATTCCAAAAGGCAGGAGCAAAAGGGGAAAGCGGCACAAATGTTTCAAGAAGGATTGTAAGCTGAAATGTTTGCTCCTCTGTTTCCTGCAAAAAACAAAACAAAACAATTGCAATTTTATTTTGGGTGCAATTTGCGTTTCTTTTTTCCATCGGTGTGAATCTGCAACTCCCTAGGAAGCAGAGCGCTCCTACTTCCAGTGCTCCCTTTCACTTCTCAGCTGGCTCAGAGCTGAGATGCAGAGACATGCGTTTTGGGGCTCCCCGATGTTTTATATGCATGTGTGTGCCTCTGTGTGGGCGTGCCACCTGGCTCAATCAGCTATGGCTGATTGCACAGACATACTCATTCACACACATACAGGAGCGCAGTGAATATTTCATGAGCTGCTGTTTACTTCACAACATTGCTGAGGTGAATGTCCATTAACTGAGGCTAAATGGCAAAGAGATAGTCTGGTGTGGGGAACAGCCGTGAGAGTGAAGGGCATGAAGCTCAAACTAACTGCACTAAGTAATACAGAAAAGCTGTTGTTACCACAGAGTACATTCAGGAT